CTATAAAACTAAGAAGACAACTCTTTTTAAAAAACTATCATTTAAGATTATATTCTTCTAGATGAATTGGTCGGTTACTAAGGTGGAAGTTCCAGGCATGCGGCTCGGTAAAAGGAGTAAGGTAACTGGTTGGCACAGGAGCTCTGCAGGCTGCTCTCCCTTGTCTTAAAGTCTAAGTCCACTCATCACATTATGCGTGGCACTATGAGTTTGATCAGGATAAAAAGTTGAATACAATCTCCCTTCTGGGATTTGAGAGTAAGAAACATGACTTCCAGCTACGGTAGGTAATACTGGTGTAGAAAAATGGGGAACTGCTGGAAGGCCATTCCTGCTTGGGAACCAGTCACGGATTGCAACTGTGAGTCAGCCAACTTGGGAGAGGACTGGACTGCTCACCCCCAAGCATCAGGGTCGAGCATTCCCTATAATTAAGCACGATTTCTTGAGGCCTTCTTACTGTCTTTGGGAAAAATAATTTGGTATTTCATTTTAAGCTTTGTAAAATATGGTCCATTTCTTCAAACTGGGGCAATTTTCTCTCTCTTGCTCAAGAACCACCAGGCTGCGGGTCTTGGAACATTTTATGCCTTTTCCCCAACTAGTATGAAAAATATCAGATGCTTATACATATTTTAAAGCCCCATCTGGTATATGGAGATCTTTTCATGTAATAAAGTTACATTCCTCTCATTCAACCTCTTAAATATTTACATAAAAACAGGAACAAATTGAAAACTATGGACTGTCCTTTTAAAAATAGGAAATGAGGGAAAGGCACTAATTAAAAAACAGAAGAACATGCTTAATCACACAGTTAAAAAAACCCTAAAAGCTGTTGTGGTTAATGAAAACAGGATCTGGTTGTAATACAGATTTTCTCAGAAAAATCCTACAACCTATTTACCATCTTCCCCTCTGCTCAACAGCTGTACAAGTTTCAGACTGAAAAGCAGCGAGGAAAAAAATTAAGACCTTATCTTAGTCAGGCAAAACACTGAAGGTAGAAGAAGAATTGGCATGTTTGTGTGTGTATTTAAAAAACTGGCTAATGCATTTGGCTCCTCTCTCAGTCCCTTCATGAAGACCGTTTGCATGAATAACAGATACCAACAGAGCTTCCTCTCTTCCTTTCATGGCATAGCATGGACTTCATATAGCAATAACACTTCATACACTGATGCACTGGTGCACTGGTGTTGGGGAGAAAAGGGACCAATGAACAAAAAGGGTCACCCCAGAAATAACCAAAGAAAACTGTTAATATCCATTTTAATTTAAAGATAAGTTTTGGTGCATAAGTTGGACCCTTCTCCTGTCCCCTCCCCACAAAGTTCCATTCTGAGTGAAAAAAAGTGTTCCCCCTCATGCAGAGAGGGAACTTGGTTTTATGGCCTGATGACTGGAGATCACTGGCTGCTGTTAGATTCTGAATGAGGACTTTACTGTTTTTCCTGTTTCCTTAAATAATCTTCAGCCATCTGCTCTAGATGTTCCGGTTCACTGGGGTTACGTAGTTGCGTGGAAACATGCCTGTTTGTCCGTGGCAGGCTCCTTTCCACCAGTTGGGGTCAGAATTGTCAAGGACCTGGATAAAGTCTCCACGGCGGAAGCCGAGCTCTCCCTCCTCCTGAGGGTCGAAATCAAAAAGAGCCTGTACGTAGGAGGGTTGCTGCAGAGTAAAGAAAAGAATGGTGAGTTATTTGGTGAGGCCTCCAAATCGCTCATTTTTTGCAGCATGAACTATGCAGTAGTTTGCCTTGAGTCATGACATCTGAAGCTACTGATGCTAGGAGATGACTACAGATAACAATTTTATGTATTTGTTGTGAGTTAATTAATTCAGAAACAAAAAATTGCAGCAAGTCTTACTCATATACTATGCTTATTCTGTGATACACAAAATGCTGAAACTGATTTTTATAACCAACTATGGCTATTAAAAAAAGTCTTATAATAAAAAAAGTGGGCAGCCTTTTTGAATTATTGTGGTTGTGTCTAAAATAAAAAAATACATCTACAAACACTGGGCAGTGAAGTGTTAAATCTGTATCATCTTACTACACATATGTAATTTTGATATGCATCAGGCTGCTTTGAAGACAAAAGCTATTCAGATGAACCCATTTTTAAAACAAATATTCACAAGTGAAATTCAGTGGCAACAGGAGGATTCATGTAATCCAGAGACGAGAAAGTGATGGCTTTCCAGATGTTTTTGAATGGCAGCTCTCTGCATCACTTACCATTGGCTATGATACCTACAGCAACTAGTTAATGTAATTCAGACACTGGAGGGCCCCAGGTTGGCTACCCTAATGTAAACTCAAGCTGTCAAAATTAAATTCAGTCCTCATGCATCTTCATGTGGCTACCTCTTCCTTTACTTCCGTCCTTCTTTTCTAGCTTGATGAGAAACTTTGTATGTGAATTCACAGACAGCAGAGCAAAATGATATTTCTGGTTTTACTCTAGCAGACAAGACTGCTTCATTTGAGAGATTAAGTCTTTTCCCACAAGTAGTTCATCTAACTAACTCTGGAACCTGATGGGTTAACTATGTATAAGTCACAAATATCTCTTCTTTTGGGGGCAAATGGTTGCCAAGGCAACTTCGGTTATCGTTGATGAAAACAGTTATTTGGATCCATTTTGATCCAGTTCCCCAGAAGCAGCATGGGAGAAATGTAACCCTGGTTTTTATTTTAACTTTCTCTCATAGCTGTATCTCTCCAGGGTCTCTGGTATCCTTCTGAACAGACTGCCTGGGTGAGAAGCACTGGACTTCAGAAGAGCCAGTCCTATTTGGATGGCTAATTTCAAAATCTGATGATAGAAAACAACTGCTTGGCCACATTATCACTAATATTCCAGAATGTAACAGGGTTCAGTGTTTTGCATGAAACTTGTGAGGGAGATGCCTATTCATAACTCCACCTCTGCCTCTGATCAGATTCAGGTGAGCTAGCAGGAATGCTCAGCTAATGTCTGCAATCAGTAATGGACTGCAGAGATCCAATACATCCAAGTTCAGTCTAGCCAGGACAGTAAGAAGTTGTTTTAGCTAGTGGTTCATCTGACCAGAAGATGGTGTTCCAACTATTCTTGCATTTCACCTAAATAACCCAATTCAAGGTTTAAGAGAGTGGCCGACAGACCACTGTTATCATTTGAGGCTCAAATGGCATACAATGCCTTCTGCCTCTTCACACTGGTGAACCCAGCTGTGGACCTCTTGGACAAAGGCTATGGGATATCTGACAACAAATATCCATATACTAGTAACCTTGAGATTAATGTAAAACAGTATGTACGTTTGCCTTTGAAGCCTTTCAGAAGCTACATAGTGTAGATTAGAGTGATTCTGCCTCATCAAGAGTGCCATATTGGTCAACTTCTAGCACAATCCAAGTGCTGTTCCATTAAAGTCTTAAATAACTAGGGATCTGGCCATATGACTGCCCTCTATCATGCTGAACTTGTTGAAGCTTTGTGTTTATTTTCAGCAGCTCTGAGGTTTAGAAAACAGTGATCTATGACATTACCATTTTACAGGTAGTCTTCATTTAACATCCACTCATTCAGCAACCATTTGAAGTTAACGCAACACTGAATGAGGGGGACTTACAAATCCCACACATTCACAGTGTCCCATGATCGCCATTTGTGACCTTCCCTTCAATGGGGAAGCTGGCAGGAGGTTGCAAATGGCGATTGTGTGACCACGGGACACTGTGAATGTGTGGGATTCCGCTGATGATGGCAACTGGGACTGCTGGAACTGCTATTGTAAGTTGGCGTGGTCATGTGATGTTACACCTTACGACCACATGGCTCAGTGACAGAGTTCCTGGTCCCAATTACAGTCAATAAGTGAGGACTACCTGTACTGCAGAAATCAGTATGAATATAGCTGCCCATCTTAAAACAACTCTGGGTGACTTACAACCACTAAAACAATATAAAAATAGTATAAAACAATCTAAAACAATACAAAATCCAACAACAATAAAAATAGAAACAGAAAAACCTGGCACTGCAGCCACACTTCTCTGATGTACCCACATTCTCATCCCACCCTGGCCTCATCCTATCCCAACACCTGGGGGAAGAGCCAGGTTTTAAGTGCCCTCTGGAAGGATAGAAGGCTAGGGGGTGTTCCATAGGGCAGGATCTGCAACAGAAGAGACGTGCTTCCAAGGACCCACAAGATGGCAATATTTAAGGTAAGGGGCCTGGAATGTGTCCACCCTATCCACTCTGGTGGAACAGATGGATGTCCACAGGGAGAGGGAGTCCTGCAGATAACCTGGTCCCAAGCCATGTAGGGTTTTAAAGGTAATAACCAGCACCTTGAATTGCACCCAGAAGAAAACCGGGAGCCAGTGCAGCTCATGCAACGGGTGTAATATGGGTGAACCTAGGGATGCCCAACACTGTGTGTGCCACTGCATTCTGGACTTGTAATTTCTGGGTGGCCTTCAAGGGCAGCCCCATGTAGAGCATGTTGCAGTAATCCAAATGGGAAGTGACCAAGGCGCGAGTGACCATGAGCAGGGCCTCACGATTCAGGAAAGGGTGCAATTGGTGCACAAGATGAATCTGTGCAAAGGCCCCCCAGCCACCTGTTCATTGAGCAGTAGCCATGAGTCCATGAGGATCCCCAAATTGCGCACCAGCTCTGTCCAGAGTAGTGCAATCTTGTCCAGATCAAAGATGACATATCCCAAACCTGGGGGGCCAAAAACCCAAGGCTACTCTGTCTTGCCAGGGTCGAGTCAAAGTCAGTTCTTCCCCATGCAGACCCTCACAACCTCCAAGCACTTGGTCAGCACCATGACAGCATCATATGCCTGGCCCAGAGTGTTAAAGAAAAGAGGAGAGAGACCCAAGCCCTGAGGCACCCCACATTGCAAGGACCTAGGACTCAACCTCTCCCCTCCAACAAACACTGACTGAAACTAGCCTTGGAGAAAGAAGAACCACTGCAAATAGTGCCTCCCATTCCCAGTCTCTGAAGCTGGCTCAGAAGGATACCATGGTTGATGGTACTGAAAGCTGCTGAGAAATCCAGGAGGGCCTGCACAGGTGCTTCACTCCCATCCCAAGTCCTCCAAATGTCATCAACAAGTGCAACCAATGCTAATTCAGTACTGTACACCAGCCTGAAAAGGGTCCAGAAAATCCACTTCATCCAGGACCCTCTGTAGCTGAGTGCCAACCACCCTCTCAACAACCTTCCTTTTTAGGGAAGGTTGGAGACTGGATGAAAGTTGTCAATACATGTTGGGTCCAAGAATGGCCTCTTGAGAAGGGGGCACACCACCGCCTCCTTCAATGCAGGTGGCATCACCTCCTCTTGCAAGGAGGCATTAATCACCACTTGGATCCAACCGCATGCCACCTCTTGGGAGGATTTAACCAACCAAGATGGGCATGGGCCTAGAACATAGGTGGGCTGAACTCACAGTCACAAGGACCCTGTCCACTTCCTCGGGACCAACTGACCTAAACTCCTCCCAGATAAGAGAGCTCACACTTGTCTCAGTCACTTCCAATGGATCTGCCCAGCTGGAGTCCAACTCTGAATGAAGTCGAGCGACTTTGTCTAACAGATGCTGAGAATATTCTTCACAACGTCTCTGTAAGGGCTCCTGGCTCCTTACCCAGGAGGGACCTGGTCACTCGAAACAGGGCCGCTGGGCAGCTATCTGCAGACACAATAAGGGTGGAGAAGTAAGAATGCTTCACCACCCTTATCACCGCAAGGTAAGTCCTAATAAAAGCTCTTACCCGTGCTCGCTCCACTTCACTCTTTGTCTTTCTCCAGCAGCGCTTTAGGTGTCTCTTGTGTTGCTTTATCTCTTGGAGCTGTTTGGTAAACCATGGTGCTCTACAAGATCCACATGCACACAGAGTCTGCAGAGGTGCAATTTTGTCCAGTGCCCCGTCACCTGCTCATTCCAAGCTGCAACAAGGGCACCAGCCAAACCACATGCAGAGCTTCAGGAAAAACCCCAAGCTCCCTCTGAAACTGCACTGGGCTATCAGGCGCCTGGGGTGAGCTGATCTAATAGCCTTACTTTCCTGTAGTGAGGGGCAGCTGCAGAGGACTCTAGGGCCAAAAGGGAATGATCCATCCATGGCAAGGGACTGATGTTAACATCCCCAACCCACCTTTCCTGTGAGCAGCCTGCCCCCTGTATCCCACCATATCTCCCCATGCCCATCACCACCACAGTACTCTCCCCCGTCCTCTCCTCCCATCCACCAGCTCTCCCTCCCTAGCCCCCAAAGCAAAGGCACCCATCTCTACCTCCACATAATGAACAGGGATAAGCAGGCACAATCCAGGTTAATGGCACTTCTGCCCAACATTCAGCATTTAGCACCACCCCCTGCGCAGGCTCCCCCTCCTTATCAAAATCCCACCCAATCTGTTTACCATCCAACACCACCCATCCCACCCTCCCTGCTCTCACCCAGGTGGTGGTGGGGGAAACCTCACACTCCCCCCGCCCTTGTCTCCCACCCAAAAGCTGCAGGAAGGCCCAGCCACGCTCAGCCCCCTTTTCAACAACCAGTCCACAGAGCGGTTCTTGTTGGTCAAGGCCCTTGTCAGCTGGATGCCAGCAGCCAAGATATCTGTCCATGTAATGTTATGTGGGAATGACCTTGGGAGACAGGAGGGAGAACCGCAGACTGGACAACTGGCATGTAAAAGATGTCTCGGAGGGATGGCATGGGAAACCTTTCAGAGGGGGCCTCTCCCTAGTTTTCTGGAGAGTAAAAGAAAAGGAGGGGAGAAATACTTTCAGTCTTGCAAGATTCTATTAACGTAACCTAAAAATAAAGATAGAGCTAGTACTCCTGGTTGTGTATCTTTTCTGGACTACCTTGCAGGACGAATAGTCCAGTCCAGCAATCCTGAGAACTTCACAACCGTACAACCCCCAGGCAACCACGGTCTGGAATCCCAGATGGGGTGGGGACACTGCCAAGGTGGCCATTCTTCCACATGGCTGGATAAGTGGCAATCGTGGAACACTGGATGGCTCTCCTGCAAAGTTGCTGCTTTGCTCCAGCCTCTGCTGGGAGCAATCAACTGGCTGTCAAAGCCTTCTATCCCAGGGGCCCCACTTGCCTGGATGTTGTCACTGTCGCCATCGCCACCTCGTTGCAATGCCCCAGTCTCTTCAACCTCCGATTCTCCCAGGGCAGTCTCAGAAAGGAGGGCAGAATCCAAGCCACCGCCTCCCTGCAGTCTCCTCCTCTGTGCCGCTGCGCCTCCGGGAGCCAACCCGGCTCCACTAGTCAGCTGAGAGAAAAACAGCTGACCAGCGGTGCCGCTGAGCTCCCCCAGCCACCCTCTTGCAAGCCCTCCTCCACAAACACTGCCAAGCTTAGTATCTTCTTGGTGCCTGGCAAAGATTTCTTAAAAATTGCCCAGGCATTTAAGCACATTGAGCCGCATCCTCTGCTAACATCACCAGAAACAGTTCATGCAAGGAGATTTCCTGTCTGCTTTTCCCTACTGCAGTTTCATGCATGTCTCAAAAAGTTATCAGTTATTTCAGAAAAAGAATGTTCTGTTACACTTTTTAATTGTGTGATACGTAGAAATCCTTGAAGGCTTATCTTAAAGGATGGGTTATATATTTTCTAAAAGTAGTGCCGTTATTGAGAACAGAATAGCTCCTAACAGAATTTGTCCTAATGAGTCACCAAGATTGCATTTATCCTTCATAGATACCCCCTCCCACTAAACAAAGACATTCATAAGGTTATTATTGAAGAATAACAAGTGTTATGATTAGGAAAACGCCAGGGGTTTTCATACCTGAGGCACTTGCTCAATGTCTCGGAGGAATATCTGTTGATTCCTGGAGACAGAGGTTGATCTGTGATAGTCTACCAGCTCATTCAGAGAATTGAACTTTACCACCCAGAGGAAATACTTGCCAGCACCGTCTCGAAGCACCTTGAAGTGCTGCACATCATTTCCGAATCTAAGAAGAAGGGGAAGAACATTCCAGATGTACTCACTGTTTTAATTTACATGCCAGGCAAGAGGTATTCTTTTCTATAGTGTCTTGTACATCTACAGGGTTAACCTAAGCCAAGTGTATATACACATTAGGGTTTTGAGGATTTCTAAACATTAGGTGGCAGTACAAGCTAGCAGTCAGTGTGACAAGTCAAGGAAATAAATGCATATAAATTGTGCGAAATGAAAGCTCTATTAATTTTTGCAAGTCTTGAAACTCTCATTTCTATCACACATTTATTACTGTATATAAGCAGAAGCCGAATACTAACACTTAAAGTTAAATCCAAGAACTAGTCCAGTCTGGTTGGCCGGGGTCCTTTTTTCACTTGTATCTCTATGTTCTTTTTCATTTCTAAGCCACCCAGAATCGCTAAGGAGTTGGGCAACCTCTATATGTGGATAAACAATCAAAAGCACCACCAGGCTACTAAGCCTGGATATTAAAAGAAGGCCTCACATGCTATTAGGCAGCTTTATCTAGGAGTTTTACATTTTAAAAGATTTCATGGCACAACAAGATTGATGCAGCAAAGTACTTCCTTAATGGAGGTGACTCCATTAATAATTCCCAAGGACTCCAAAGTACTTTATTCTTAAATTGGGCCACAAGACTGGGAGCAATAAGCATTTTCTGAATGCCTCTTTTGGTAGTGAATGAACCTGAACTGGAAACAGGTACGCAGCTGCAGATGGCCTTCCAAAACGTCCTGTGTGTGTGACCATGCATCATCTTGGGCTGGAAGGCACAAGGTGCTCTGAAACCTCTGGGGGCACGAACACAGCACTTATCTGCAGCTTTTTAAAGCAATGCGTTTTCCTGGGGCCGCAGGGCTGCCCTCTATATAATGCACTGGATTTTAGGGAGTTGCTGACGATACTAAGTTCATCCCCAGTGGGCTGAGAAACACCTTTTTGCCTTTATAACCTCTAATGCGTTAGTACCTGAAGAGGACTGTGAACCACAAAAGTTCAAAATTGCAGCAACTTAGAAACTCTTAACTATAAAAGCCTAATACCGCCATCCCATCCCTGCACTGGAGGAAACTTTTAAAACTTTTCTTTCTCTGTTCTAGCCAATGCTATTTTGATAACAGAAGTTTCAAAGACTGCAGCCAGGCCATCAATCAAATCAAATCAAATCAAATCAAATCAAATCAAATCAAATCAAATCAAATCAAATCAAATCAAATCAAATCAATCAAAAAGTAATACTCACTTGACTGAGAGGGAGA